ATCGTGTAAAATGACTTTGGACTGCAATATTGAAAGCTCGCATTTGTCGAAAGAAATTAATAGAACTTTAACAATTTATATCCTATGAAAATCATTTTTGACATATAAGTATAAAATACCCATCAAAAAGAAACGAGCACGTCTGGAATCGGTAGGTTTTTGTAATTTTTCTTTTGTTGTTGTTGTTGTTTCTGTTTTTTTTTTCCCTGAAAAATTATTTTGCTCTATCAAGCTCAATTTGATGGTTTATATTACTTGTGAAAATGACTACCATTATAAAAAACATTATTGTTTCATGCTGAAATGATATTATTTCTTGACATTGCATATTCAATATATCATATTGCTTCATTCAATGCAACATAATTTTGATTTATTGTATTGTGGTCTCAATATAGAGTGACATACAATAATTTGAGACTAATTGATTGAATTAAGCTTCCTTTATAACGTAACAACTGACATGCAATAATTCTATATTATTTTTAATACGACAAAATAGTGTGTAAACGAGAAAACAGTCAATGTTCACACGAACATTCCTATAATTTATATTAGTTTTAAAAGACAAAAGAAGCTTTAGCATACAAAGCAGATTTTATCTATTCAGTTGCATGTCCAAATGGTAAAATACAAAATTAATATTAATGATGTATTGTCTATATGTGTTATCTTGTTTCCTGTTTGATACTAATTACAAACTATACAATTATTTGACTGATATTGAGGAATATTTATAATAGTTGATCGAACCCGAGAATAGTTATATCGACTGAGCAGGTTCGATAAAAAAACATAATATATTGCCCGGAAATAAGTATGAGTTTGTTATATCGTGTACCACCCGCAACAGACAGAGTAAATTATTATATTTTCAAAGAATAGCCCACCCGTTATAAAACCATCAGCTGGTAAAATTGGTGGAAAAAACGTCATTTTGCAGATAAGTGACGTCAAATCTTATGATCTAAATTGCATTGCGATCGTATCGACTGGATAAAAACAAGCATTTCATAATAAGCCTCTCGGGAAGAATCACCCATGTATTTACCAACATTTTGGTTTACAACATACAATGGTCCAGTATATAGTATCTATTATTATATTATGTAAACAGTGAGTTTGGGCTTAATATATTACTATCCTTATCTATCCGTTATGCTATTTTATTCAGTTAGTGTCTTAGTGAGGTAAAAGGAAGAGTAAATGCTTACCTGACATAAACGCAGATTTTGATTTAAATTTGGAGATAGCTCAACTTTGTCAACTATCACTCAATTTTCTTTTAATTATAGTGAGCTGCAATAGATCTTGAGATATCACAAAAAGCATAGTCACATCATTTTCATTATTATTATCATCAACATATCAACATCTATATATCTGCATCATCAATATTGTCATGGTTTTCATGATCCAAATCATCATCATAATTATAAGAATCATTAAGTCATCTTTACCATCCTAATTATCCATATAATATCCACTTCATCATAAAAATCAACACAAATTAACAACATCAATATTACACAACCACCATTACATAACCATTACATCATCATCATCCACATTTCGATCATTCTGTCAACCATCAGTTACATAAACATCTTCATCGAAATCAACCTAATTATCATCATGGTTATCATCACCAACATATAATTAAATCATTATCATAATTATCATCATCGTCATTGTCATTATTATTATTGTTATTAATATTATTACTATTATTATTATTATTATTATTATTATTATTATTATTATTATAATCATCGTTATTACTATTATTATTATTATTATTATAATTATTTTTTATTATTATTATTATTATTATTACTATTGTTATTATTATTATTATTATTATCATCATCATTCACTTTTTTGTTGAAACGTTTAACATAATGTAGGGACGGATACATAATTAATGCATTTGCCCTGTACATATAACAATATTTTGGAAAATCTGTATGCATATAGTTCACGTACAATATGCCTTTGACTTGCTCTATTTGGTATTTAAATTCGAAAATTGGCTCTAGATTCAGACTTTTTTGATTTGTGAGGAGGCAACAAATGAAATATCTGCAATCATTGCAGTTAATATTGAATTAAGACAATTGACAACACAATTTAAATCTTCCAAGACACGGCGCGATGGTATTTCATACTATATATTTCAAAAACAAAACTTGTGAGGCTGTAAATAGGAAGTATCATACTATATTTCGGGAAAGACTGATCTGCAAATTATAAAAATAAATCTTATAATGCAAGTTTACACCAAGCCAAGTGCCAAGTATATTTTCAATATATACAGCGAGAAGGTAGTCAATCTATTTTTTTTTCAAGTCGAGTTCCTATCCTTTGCCGTACGTAATGTTCTGGTGTGTAGCAAGTACAAGAGAAAATAAATATTTTCCTAACAAAATCCAAAATATATTATAATGATTAACAAATACATTTCAGTTTTAATGGAAACATTCCAAGTCGTTAAAGTTTTACACATTATCAGCTTATCGTTTCGGCTTTGAAAATTCACATTAAGCGACAAAGAAAGTAACCTGAAATTGATACATAATGAAAATATCAAATGAATACTTCAAAGTTTAGTCGATAATTCACTGTAAAAATACTATGTTCTCAATTGTAATGCTCTTGGCTTGAAGCTATAAGAAATTTTGATAATCACCTTTTACAATATCTGGATAATGCAATGTCTTTTATTTAGATAATTATCATGAACATTGTTTTCATCATAAAATAGAGTTAGAAATGTATTCGTTTTATCCATGTACTTCTACTTATTTATCTATTCACTTCTAGTCATTTATTTGCATTTTTGTTGTTGTTTTTGTTTGTTCTGTATTTGACAATACTAGAGTTAACCGACTCGGTTCTATTTAGTTCTAACAAACAACAGTATCAGTTTTTGTTCGTATACATGTATATTTATGTTGATAATACAACGTAATGAAATAATAACTGTTAAAAGAATTTAAAATTCCGTAATCTTGTATACGTATAACCCATTTGCAATAAATTGCGTATAACGTGTCCACATTGCGCACTTTAAATCGAAAATTGCCTATTAAATGGGACTTGTTTCAATTACCAAGAGGCAACAGATGAAATATCTGCAGTCAGTGCAGTTGACATGGTAATATGACACGTGACATCTTTAAATAAATCTTAGTCGACGTATAAATCTGTAAATGTCTATAGGGATTCAATGTAATATTTTGTTGCTTTTTATAAAAGACAGAATAGGCAATTCAAAACATGACATGTGACTCATGCATAATGGTAGTTGATCGAATGAATCTTACTAACGCATTTGCAATTGAAAAATTAATCTGAAGTGCATATATATCGTATCTTTTTCAACCTTATATTAAATATACAAGAATAATTATATCAAATTAATACTACGATTAACACATTAAATTTACATCTGTACCAATACGTTGTTTTTACGAGAACGAGAAGGAATAAGAATAGTTCCGGCTGTGAAACAATGCTAAAGTTTAATTATCAAATTTGTATCATGTTTGTAGAATTTCAACACATTAAAATGGAGAGAAAAACACAGTTTTTTTTCTTTCATTTATCATAGAAAAAAGATAATTAAAAACAGTGGGGAATCATCAAATTCGAGACAATATAATTTGAATTTAGAAAAACAAACAAAATTGGCTGAATGTGTTATGTTTATAAAGAATTAAACGTGTCGAAAATGGTTAGATATAATCCGTAGAAATGTAATGATCCAGTGGAGAATATTACGTTTACTTAAATATATATCTGATCAATTACAACATTTATTTCAATCTAATATGCTTTTTGTGCGTTAAAAAACATATATTTCATATAATATAATGCAATTCGTCAGGAAAAATGGAAAAAATGTTGCTTATCAAAGGAAAAATACTTCTCAATATATAATGTTCGTAAATAACAAGCTATACACGATTAATAAGTTGCTATTCTGCAATTAATTTAAAATGAACACAGGAAACGATATGTTCAATGGTACATTCTTAATTTTTCAAGTATTGTTTATATTATTACTCCATTCTGTTATTGACACTTGGAAATAAGACTTTATTCACAGGGGATAGTTCATGATGTATCTCCAGTCATTGAACTGTAAAACACGTGATCATTCCGTCGTATGATATATATCGGATAATTTGACCCATTGAATTTACAAGGATTGAACTGATGAATTACTTATCTTGCATAGAGAAATGTGGGAAGATGAATTATGAATTGTGTTCTTCATTTATAAAAAACTGTATCAATAAATGCCTTATAATTAGGTATATGTTTAAGAGATTTGATTTCCTTGTGATCATTTAGAATTTTACACGGAAAAAAATATGTTTAAGAGCCATATTTAATTTGTATTTTAACACGTAATTTGCTACCTTTATCATCATAAATTTTTCAAACGTACGATCAATTTTATCTCGAGAGCTTTTCATTTGAGGTTAAATAAACGGCATTCGTGAAGGTCTTGTTTGCTTTGTTTGCTTGTTTGTGTCTTTTTTCGCCTTTTCCCAACAGTATTTCAATCATATAGGCAGGTAGTTTCCTAACCATCGTTCCTGGAGAGTTACACCAGTACTAGACTACATTCCTCCGTGCTTAACTACCAAAGCATTCTCCGGGGATCGAACCTACACCAGAGAGGTAACTGGATTAGAAGTCATCGACTCTAACCCATCGACCACGGAGGCGGTGTCAATTTTACATACAAGTAGTCATCATTTTTTTCTTAAATCAATAATATGTCATTCTGTATATTTAAAAATATATATATATATAATTATATTGTATTGTTATAACGGGGTTGTAGCCTGTCCACGGTGGGAGGAAATGCCATTATAGTCTCTGACAAACGCCGAGTACCTGTGTTACACAGTAGAACACTATATAACCTATATTAAGGCTTTTTGAACACTAAAGCTTCACTTATTTATCAAAAAGAATAAGACAAATCATTCGGGAACGAATTTATTCTTAAGTGAAGTCATGCATTATACAACACGCGTTAGATGAAAATTGTTTCACAACACGATGGAGTAATGGTTCGGGTTGTTATCAACTTGACCAACAGCTGTTCCGTTGACATGAATGACGGTCGGGAAGGACGTGCAAGTTTGGCGAACGATCTTAAACAAAAGTAATCTGATACAATTTTGTTAACAACAAAAAACACCTCTGTAAACAAAGTATCATGTCTGTTTTAATTGAAGCAACATGTTTACAGAATCATCTTTATTTGTATCAGCATTTTGAATATGTATTTTAAATTCAAACATTGTGAGGCGAAAAAAAGACAGTTATCACAAATAACTCTTGCAATCCATGTAATTTTCCAAGCTGATTAAAATCATGTTCTAAGTTACGAATTAGAATCTGGCGAAAATCACCAAAAACAGATCACCCTATTATAACTTTTCAAACAGCATTTTATCATTTTGAAAGCAATGCAAACCGCTGCAAAAATAATACTGAGTAGGTAGTTTTCTCAATTTCAAGACCAAAATGGCATTGTTCATATAGCCGGCAGGTATTCTGGCAAAACAATTTATTTGCATTATTTCATTTTGTAATTCCTGGTTAATTGTCCTCGCTCTTTTACAAATATTATTGCTTACGGTAGTGTGTCATTTAAGTTGCCCTGATCAGCACATTTAAAATTAAATCTACAGTTATATTTGTTAATCTTCAAACATTTTAATTTTTAACAAAAAAGTCATCAATTTTTCAGGAAATCCGAATCACAATCAGCGGCAATCAGCGGCAATCAGCGGCAATCAGATATACATGCAAGAATTAACGTAAGTAGATCTGACCATAAGTCAGTTTGCTTAATTTACCAAAAATGTGGTTAAAATATGCAAAAATATACTTTTAGTGTTAGTCATGTAGTACAAATATGGTGGTATATGTAAATAATGCAAAAGCAGCCATTAATAACACAAAACACATAAACAGGATAATTAATGAGGGTAAGTTTAATATTGAATTAAATAAGTTCAGTAATGAACTAATACGAATTTAATATTCTATTTATCACATACCCAAAAATAAAGACCGTATGAAGTGAAAAAGAACCATGTTTCATTGACGCGCCTTAAGTATAACGCTTACATTAAGCGCATTGTGATTTTATGTATATAACGCAAATGAGGTTACGTCAAAATACAATAATGCATTGCCGTGCAATACCATTTATACGGAACCACAAAAGCGGAAACGTTTTGTGATAATTTTTTACTTGAAACATGAGTCTCTTTTTATTTCCTTAAAATCTTAAAACATGTTTCTCAAGTTTGATTTTTGTGACATATTGCAACGCGACCACGGGGGTTGGTATTATGCTTTATGTTATTTGTCTAAATGGTTTGTTGACTTTATAATATTTAAGGTATTTGATGGGGTTATGGTTTATTTGAATTTGTTGTACTCGCATCGGCCGTGACTCGACGGCTTAAACAATGGGCGGGGATAATGTCTCCTCAGTTGTAGATATGGTAGCGTTATTATTCGAGCAGGGCTGATATTTAATGTTCACACCGTACAATCAAATGGGTAGACAACTGTGTAACGCGTCGACAGCCGTACTTATATTAATGTCTCTGTGTTGTTCTAAAATCTTTCGTGACGATAGTAGACTGAAATAATTAAGACGAAGACGCAAACTCTTGTCTTTCTATGGTTGATGAATCGCGTTGGCTTAAAATAAATGTCACCGGCTGAAGAAGCGTAGTGTAACGTGATAATTACACCATCGATTTACATAGAAGAATGAACCCTCATATTGTCACAATATTTTCGGTCATCTGGAGGCGCGATTCTTTAGAAAAAAAGATATGCAAGTATACATTTTAGACAAATACCGAAAATCCTTCGCCACCACTGAGGCATTCTGTAAAAATACCAGCCGTGTTTGGTTCTAACATGCCATCGGGTCTGAATATTGCTACAGTAGTATACGGTGTCATAGTTCCACTGTTACATTGCGGCATGACCTATAAATATTATTGATAATTACTTTACAATTAAATAAAATGCTTTGTTGAATCTCAAATATAAATGGACGTTAAAAAAAGATCTTTCGATATCTTTAATATGTGAATAAACATAATAAAGAAACAACGAAACAAATAATCTAAAATTGTCGTCAACTAAGATGTGGCCTTTGTGTTGTATCTATGTTGTGTCTAAGTTCTATAGTAGATGAAACGTACAAATTCGGTTTGAATGAAATTGTTTATGAGGGATAATGGAACAGTGCCCCCTTACACCACCGTCTTAATTTTTATTTCAATTACAATGGATACCAGATAGTTTAATAACATTGAAATCTAATACTGCGATAACCTTCTTGGTAACATTTTATTATGCGTAATTAGTGCTAAATTGGAGAATATGGTTTTAGATATTACATTGACTGGTGGCTGGGCCCTAGATGTCCAATGGTGCTTGATCAATCGGTGTGTTTGACAGACATTTTGCATAAGGTATGCGCCTCGTTAGAACGAAATGAAAGATGAAATTCAGAGATACAGTTGGCGGGCCAGTGGCATACACTTGACAGTACGTTGTAATAAGTCCAAGGACCTTGCAGAATGCAAGTAACGCGCTACATGTAGTTGGTTTGACATGGGCTATGATAAAATATATTATTTTATGACCTATTGCCTCTTTTTGCCCTTTTGATGCTGACTGCAGAAAAAGCAATACGTGATAATAACCTGAGTCCGACAGCTATAGTATAAACAATCATGGCCTGTGATTTGATTAAACAATATCGCTTTCGATGATGCTTGCGAGTGTTATTAATAGTCCGCAGTACCGGATGCACTTTTTTATCCATTATGTCCTAAATTAAAGTTATATTTACGCAAATAGAGTAATGACTAAATCATTCTGCATAGAAGTATTTTGTAAACGAAGATATGACCTTCCATCAAATCATTAGTAATTATATACGATGTACAGAAAGAAGTTCGTTTACAATCAACTATTCCACTGGGTTCTCACTGTACTTTGTATCATTACCAGGGTATAGGTATCGAAGGCAAATATCATTCTGTAAAGATATCTATTGTTCCGGTTTTGGTCGCATTGTATGTCGGAGAATTATTAAAAAAAACCTTACTTCGTCAAGTTAGAAGTGGTATATGAAAGATAGTATACACTTGGATTGAAGTGATTAGCGTAATTGGGATATATATTACCCTTTATTCAATGAATCTCAACTCGTAGTAAACTTATAGTTTTAAAACCATAACATTTTCTTTAACTCTTATACCTACTTTTTGAGAGTTTATGGAGCCACGAGCTTGCTCATTAGGAGTGTGAAACAAAGTCTGTTATATGAACGCATCATTGGGTATTGTGTAATGTTTTCCAATGATATTCCTGATTTTACAAATACATATAGAATCCATATGTGTAACGCATGATCAACGCACACTTGTGTATTGTAACGAAAACTTAGTGAAAACATTGCAATTTGGGAGGAACAAAACTTTTTATCTTGTAAATAATGTTTGTATCTCGATTCTATAGTACACGATGTCATAACCAACTACTCAAACCGGAAGAACCGTGACAAGTAAACGTGTTGAGACAATATTTTTCGCCGGCCGCACAGTAATCACCCGGTAAAATATATGGAGTTGGACTCTTAAGCATTTGCTTAGAGAGACCTGGGAGAGACCGAGTGTGAAGGTACATACCCTCTTGTTAAAAAGATTTTTCGGAAATGTTAATTTTATTGGTCTAATAATAAACTTCATCCATCTTCCTATTTACAGGTTCATCGGATACATTATTACAATACTACCACTGTGGTAATACAAAATGAATAATGCAATTAAAAATCCGAAGAGCGCGATTTTCTATGTTTGAACTGGGCATAAAGAGTTATTTCATTTGATGTTTTGCATTGCGAAATTCGTTCAGTCGTCTATTCCATTTGTACCCATACTCGCGACATTTCAATCCATCCACCCTGCATACGATGGAATGATCGATCGTGTTATAATGACGCGACCTAAAAAAGTTGCTCGAAGAAAGCTTGTCTGCGCCACTTCTCACACGGGAAAATCTGATTGCCACTGTTCTATAAGGGGCCCGCCGCGGCTTCGCCGCGGACCCGCTTCAATGATAGGTATTTGGGAGGTCGGTTCAGAGACTGCCACGGGAAATTGTATGCACTGATCCAAAGAGAAATCTGAGATTAAGAGACAGTAACTATCATGATTTTTTTTCTATTAATTTCAGAGACAAAGTGTATATATGTGTATTTCTCATTTTACCTAATGTTCGAAACTTATTTTTGTGCCGTATGTACCACCTCGGTTGACCATTTTTGCATTTGTAGGCTACCGGAGTCTTCTGGTATTTATCGCTATTCTGAACCGCAATTGTGAAGCCCCGATAGAGTGTCAAGATATCGTGCAGCACGGAGCACGTTATCTTAGGTAGTCTAGAAGATCAGTAGCAATGGACAAAATTAAACGTATTCTGTTTAGATTTTAAATGGCAAAAAACAAACTTATTTGGAAGCACATCTTTACATTCGAGGCACGGTAATCATTTATTGCAGGTCTGTTTTTTCTTTAAAGCTCTTTAATCATCTTTCATGCAAGATGTAGAATGTGTCTCTTAAAACAGTGTGTTATAAAGATTGCCTCTGTAAAGTCTTCTGGTTCGATTCCTTAGCCAACAACCAGGGTTAGTTGGTTTTTTTATGTTTTTAGTTGCAAGAATATATTTGAAAGGTCGTTTTAACAACAGAACAATGGTTTAGAATACACTTTTAAGTGGTGTTTTTTAAAAATATATATTTTTCATTACAGGTATCTATTCAACACGGGTTCTCGTGGTTGTGGACCATTATACATATCTGGAGGTATTGTCCTTTTTGACGCTCCGCTGCATTTTTAGCTTTTTTTAGCTCACACGCACTGATGCACGAGTTTAGTTAAAAACTTCTACATCGGTTATACAACATAGATTTAGTACATTAGCAGACAAAATGGCTTGTTGGCAATAGTTTTCTAGCAGAATTGGCAAATTTTAAAAATTAAAAGAAAGAAAATTGCTGAATTAGGGAATTGCATGTCTTTAACCTCCAGTTTCCACGCCTAACATTCTCCAAGTGAAACGCCCTTTACCACCTGCGCTATAGAAATTTTATCTTACACACACAATAGTTAACGAATTAGATATTTTGCATTACATAAGGATATTACACCAGATATATATCTTATACGTTCGAGGATTTTCATAATGCAAGGTAGCCAGGTCAATGTTGTTGACATATACGCTTAATGACAGCACAGGCAAATTATAGCATGGTTGGATTAAGTGTAATAGGCACGCATTCACGAAAATATTATAAGAGAAAGAAAACCTATTCTGTTGTTGTACAATTGTTTATAAATTTGAATTTGATATCTTTCTAGAATAAAGCCTCGGTGTGTTGGATCATCTCCACTGTGTTGTAGCGGGTACCGTTTCGAATCAACGTAGCATCTTGGTTAGCTAAATAGGAAAAAACGTATTACTAGATGCGTTTTGTCACCAAGGGGCCTTTTGCATAAATTGCGAACGTCTAATTTTATTAATAAACCGAACTAAAGATCGCTACTTCAATTTCAACCTATTGACTGTGTTCATTCATAGCAAATCCTTCATTCTGACTACCCGTATTTTTAATAAACTTTTGGAATTTATTAACTGACAGTTTAAAAGCTTAACCTTGGGTCTTAAATGTTGTTGGACCTAACATTGGTTTTAAACCTACACCCAACATCTGTTAGTCCTTTGGCCGCATAATAGTATGAGATAACTCACCAAGCTAAGAACCCCAAATGGTTAAAATTAACCGCTGGTTAATCTATAAGTAGAATCAATCCCGACACACAATACATTCTATATTTGCTTATATTATTGTCGCGGAATATGTCAAATCTGACAGACGGATCAGCTTCATAACGGTAATTTCGTCATAAAACGAGTTGTTTAATATTGACGTATAATACAAGTTGTTTAACATAAATTTACACATTGCGACTATTTACGGTAATGTTATGACATTTAACAGTAAGAAAAATGTTGCGGCATTTAACAGTAATGTTGCGATATTTAACGGAAAAACATTTTAAGCGTCTTTGTGACATTTACCTGCGCCACAAACATTGACTCATAGACTTGTGATTTTTTATCTTTTTCATATTTTCAACATTCACATACATTGCCTATAACGTTTTTTTCCTGTTTTTTTTTATATATTTTACACAAAACATATTATCTGTTGATTATAATATTAATGTTTCAGCTGTACGTGTGCCGAAAAAAAAAACATTCTAAAACTAATAAATACCGTTCATAATGTGCAAACAAACATGTATTCTTAATAAATATTAATTGGTTCATTTTTAGTCGTAAATGTAAAATGTTGTCCTTATAAAAGCACTTTTTTATATCGTATGCTCAATTGCACCTTAATGGCGATATACAATTATATATTTTAAGAAAGTTATTACCTGGACACGATATGGAGTCCCAATACGGTTTACAAATGGAAGTCTCTGGAAAGTAAAAACAAAACGAGAATTACTTTATAAATGAGCCGCGTCACGACAATCCAATATCATGGGTTTGCAACCAGCATGAATCCAGACCAGCACGCGCATTCGCGCAGTCTGATCAGGATCCATGCTGTTCGCTATCAGTTTCTCTACTTGTTATAGGGTTTGTAAGCGAAAAGCATGGATCCTGATCAGACTGCGCGGATGCGGGGGCTGGTCTGGATCCATGCTGGTCACAAACACATAACGTTGGTTTTGTCGTGACGAGGCTCAAATATCAAATGCATTATTGGTATCAAACATTTGGTGTTTTCTTATTACTAACAAAATGAGTGTTATAATTGTGCGGGAAGTGATATGAGCAAATCAATCTAGATGTATTCTTTGAAGTCTAAGGCAACGGAATCGGGCATAACATCATT